TCCTGTGCAAAGCCCCCGGGGCTCGAAGCGCACCCGGCCCGCGGCGCTCGGGGTGGAAGGGCCCTGCCTCGACACGGAGCAGCCCGACTCTGGTACGGCGTCTCCCAGTTCCTCATTCCGTACCGAGCGGCCATTAATGGACAGCCCGTATGCGCCAGAGGCACCTCCGACCCCGGGACGTGCCGAGGCCGGCGAACCCCTCCGCCGCCGCTCGGGCCGAGCACCGGGCAAAGCCCACCGGGACTGCCCCAGCCCCTCAGGGGAACACGGGGTCCCGAGCAGCCCGCGCCCCGCGCCCGCCCCACGCGCTCCGCTCCGGGACGGCCGCACCGGGGGCGGCGGCTCCCCCGGCCTTCGGAAGGTCGCGCAAGGGCACCCGGGGCCCCGCGCCCGACCCTCGGCCGCGCCCGGCCCTTCCCGCGGCCCGGAGCCAGCGCGACGCGCCCGGCCCAGCCCTTCCCGCCCTACCTTACCCCCCACCCGCCCGGTCCCGCCTCTCTCGCCCGGTCCCGCCGTACCGGTCTCGCTCGCTCCGCGCTGCGCTGCCAACGCCACGGATCCGCCCAGGCCCCGCGCGCCCCCGCACTTCCGGGACACGCCCGGCACTTCCCGTTACTCGCCGCCGCGCCGCCGCCGCGCTTCCGGCCGCGGACCGCGCGCTGATTGGCCCGAGGGGGGCGCGCGGGCGGGGCGTAACGGACCGGATGGGCGGAGCCGGGGCGGAGCGGGGCAGGACGGGCAGGGCGGGGCAGAGAGGGATCGGGACCAGGACAGCGGCCCGGCACCAAGAACGAGACCAGCGGGGCAGGGCAGGACGGGACCGGGACCGGGACCGGCAGAGTGGCGCAGGGCATCATGGTACGTGTGGGAGCGGGACGGGGCGCGGGGCCCAGCGCGGCAAGGCATCAGCCACAGCTCTAGACATGGTTCTATTTTATTACGGCAAAGGTGAAAAAGCCACCTTGGCCCAACAGGCAACCAGAAAAATTTATCCCAAAAATAACTCGGTACAAAACAGGTCTGCTGAGAATTAAAAAAAACCTTTACAGGAGTTAAAACCTATCCCAGAACATAAAAGTAAAACAAATCCCATCCTCGGTAGTAGTAGCCACAGCCGCAGCCCCTGCCGGGAGTGTGGAGCAAGATTGGAGTCCTTCCCTGCGCCCACTGCTGCCGCTTTAGCTGGTGTCCATCTGGAAGAGAGGGGAGGAACTGTCATCACGTGCCTTGCAGCAGCCCTGGCACCCTATAGCACCCCCCTGCACCCAAGCCTACCCACTTCTTTGCAGGCAGCCTGGCCCTGGTGAACGCCCCAGGGACAGGAGGGTCCAAGCCCCAGCACACCGTGCTGAGCAGGACAGCAGAACACACCCCCACACTGCTCCAAGGCTTCTTCTAGAATCCCGCTCATCCCACTTCTTCCATGCTCTTGCCCTGACCTATCCTGGTCCTGAACCGCCAACTCCACTGCTGCGGTGTCCTTGTACAGCTGTGACCCGCCTATGGCTCCCCAGGCTGGGGCTCATTTCTGCCACCAACATTACACCTTTCCCCCAGCAGCACACCACAGTTCTGCCACATGAGACTTTCTTTTCTGTTTTCCCATTCCTACAACCTATCAGCCCTGTGAGTTTTGTTCTGCAGCTGCTGCTCATAATGGTTGTTCCAGCTATGGAACCTGGCAAGAGCGGGGCTGTTCCTCAGCCACCAGGAACAGGTGACAAAGTGCTCTGGAAAGCAAAGCTGAGGCCCAAGCCAAGCTCAGCTTCAGAGAGAGACTGCTTCAGTCCAAGAACCTGGAAAATGCTTTCCCTTTTCTGCCAGCTCCAGAATGAGATGCCGTGGAGAGCCCATGACTGTGCCCAAACAGCACTTACCCTGGCATTGTAAGCATCCAGCTGTGCATCTAGTTCTTCTGCAGAGAGCTGCTGTTTGGAAGTTCGTCCAGCTCCTCTGCCTCTCCCTCTGTTCCCGCCACGAGTCCCTCGCCTGTTGCCTCCACCTCCAAATCCCCCCGAGACCCCACGGTTTCTGGTCATGCCACCTCTGTTTACACTGTAAGTTTTAAAAGCAACTGTTTTAGTGCCTTCAGTGAACCCAAACAGGACCCGTGCTCCCCACCAGGGAGGGGTCCTGCACCTTCCCGCCCCACTGCTCGGGCAGGGGTTCCCCCACCTCTGTGCTGGTCTCCGCTGCGTGTCGATCTGTGACGTCACCAGCTGGATGTTCATGGGGCGCCCTGAGGGGAAGGAGAGCAGCCCTGAGTCTGCAGGACACGCACAGGAGGGAGGGACACAGATGTGCAGGGTGCACCACTCCAGCGAGGGAAGCAGACTCACCATCCAAGGGCACCCCGTTGTACTGCTTCATCGCCTTCAGCGCATCAGCCTTCCTCTCAAAATGCACATCTGCCGTTCCTAGACTGCGACCAGATCTGTCATAGTGCACAGCTGCCTTCTTCAAGGTCCCAAACTCCGCAAAGAGCTCCTGAGAATGAGAGGGAAAGGAGCGTGCCCATCCATCAGTGCTGCAAACACCCCACACAGACACTCAGCCAGCATCAGTGCTTGTCCAACCACCACAGACAACCTGGAAAGACCCAGTGGCAGAGGGGAGCACAGCCCATCAGGAAGATTTCAGGGAGTTGTCACAAGTGGCAAAAACAAGCAGGACTCCACGTTCATGTCCTGCAGGAGGCACATTTACAGCCAGAGAAGCAGATTCAAGGGATGCCGACCTGCTTTTTTCTCCACGGGAACTGGAGATCTTTCTTGAAGCGGCAACTATTGAAAATACTCCAGACCCCAGGCACCTTTCTCACAGGGGAGAACGACCATGTGAGTGCAGGGATCCACAGGATAACACTTTCATTGTGCTGGACTTGTGCCCATTAGGAACGTACCCCAGAAATGGAGACCAACCAAGTCCTCTGATGAGGTCTGTCCTTTGCTGCCACAAAGGCTGGAAATAAAGAGGCAGCAACAGAGCCACCAATTTTGTTTCTCAGGCACTACATTTGGGAAGCCAACAAGATTACTACACTGCCTGAGTCACAACAGGGCTCTCAGCAGGGCTGCTGGAGGAGAACTGCAAAGGGCACCTGGCAGGTGCTTTCTGGACAGAATGTGGCAACCAAGGCTGTGTCAGCTCTGCCTAGAGCCCGGGGTTAGCTGCTCCTGCCTCAGAGGACACAAAGAGCAATGCTGCACAGCTCCTTCATGACCAGAGCGCCTTCGGCCTCTTTCACCACATAAATAGGCATGAGCACAGGAACAAAACCAATCCCACATCTGAGGCAACATTAAATTATGTGGCTGGGGGCCAAAGCCATTGAGTCAGCCCTGCTGCTGGACAAACCCCAATGAAAATTTGTGCAGCAGCAGGAAGGTGAATCCTGGCTGCACGCAAGGCACTGGGGCTGAGTTTTACACACTGGCCTCACTGCAACAAACGGGAACTTATTTAAACCCAGTCTGAACTTACACGAGGAAAAGAGGTGGTGTGCAGCACACTACCCAGTGAGTAAGTGACCTGACAGAGCTCTTTTCCAATTCCCCATGCAGCCAGGTTGGTGCATGGAGAGGCTGGAATGAATGAACCCATGAGGAAAGTCTGACAGCAGTGGTTTGGTTTTCCCTGGGGAGGACGTGAGAGCCAGAGGCCAGGGTGACGGCAACCCCCTGTGGTGCAGGATCCCCCGCCAGGGACACATGTGGTATTCAATTCCTGCACAGCTCACAGCCCACTCATGACCCTGTGACACCCCTCAGCCGCGTGGGAGCCCCCCCAGCCTCCAGCCCTGAGGCAGATGCACCAAGCACCCAACTGCAGGCGCTGTGGGCTCTGACCAGCCCAAACAGGACACGGCCACGACAGGTGGAGGACAGGACACTAAGGCAGCAGCGCAGAAAAGTTGTTCCCGTGACAAATAACTACCTGGTTACACTGATGGGTGAATCCTTGGGAACCCCTTGACACCCAACAGAATGTGATTTAACAAAGCACCAGAGCCCACGGCACCGTTAGGGACAGCTACAGCTGCGCAGAGCAGGAGCTCATAGAGTTCACAGCGAGTTCTCCAATCACAGTGTGATCCAGCAGTCACAGCATCGTTCCCCGTCCCCCGTGCACCGCGCCTATAAACCGAATTTTCCAGCCCCCTCGAGACCACCACGATCGCGGCACACGTAGTACAAACCCCATCACTGGGGATTCACCCGGGAATCCTCGGCCCCGAGCGCAAGCCGGAGTAGGGCCGGCGGGTTTCCCGCGGGCACCCGACCTGGGCGCAATGAATGAGGCCCCCGCTCCCCCGCGGCGCCTCACCGAACCCCACCTGGATGTCCGCATCTGAAACGCCGAAGTCCAGGTTGGAGACGAGCAGTTTTCCGCCTGTCTCCACGCCGGCCCCTGCCCCGAAGCCGCTGTCGAACAGGTCGTGCTGCCACTTCTCGGGGAGTTGCTTCGGCTGCAATGAGACCGGGACCTCGCTGACCGGCGCCAGGGCCTCGCAGCCCGCGGCCGCGTTGGGAGCGGACAAAGGGCCGCCCGCGTCCGCGTCTCCGCCCCGCGCGAACCCTCCACCCCAGCCCGCCGCGCCGCCGCGGCCCAAGCTCCGCCTGCCCAGTCCGTACCCGGCTGTAGGGCGCGGGTCGGTTCCTGCCGCCGCCCCGGGCCATCACCGGTCGGTTCCGCACGGGGCCGCCGCCCGCGCGCCCGCCGCCCACGCCGCCCCGGCCGGGCCCGCCCCCGCGTGCGGTGCCGCCCCGGCCCCGGCCGCCCCGGCCGCCTCGGCTGGCCCCACGCTGGCTCCGGTTCAGCTTAATGATGTCGTCCAGGGACATGTCCATCTTGTCGGCCATGATGGCGGCACCGCTCCCACCCGCACTTCCGGCCGCGCTGCGGCCGCGCCGGAAGCGGAAGAGGCGGGGCTGAGGCGCGGCGCGGCAGGCGCGCGAAGCTCTGTGGGGTGGGTAGCACTTCCGGCGGGGCCGCACCGGCAGCGGGACGGGAACATGCGGGTGCGCGTGCGGAGTTGGCACGGAGTCGCGTCCTGGCTGTGGGTGGCGAACGATGAGAACTGCGGTATCTGCCGGATGGCCTTCAACGGCTGCTGCCCCGATTGTGAGTGCGGGAACGGCACCGACACCGGGCACTGCTCACTGGGCGGGGCTGACGGTGTGTCCGTGCCGCAGGTAAGGTCCCCGGCGACGACTGCCCGTTGGTGTGGGGGCAGTGCTCGCACTGCTTCCACATGCACTGCATCCTCAAGTGGCTGAACTCGCAGCAGGTGCAGCAGCACTGTCCCATGTGCCGCCAGGAGTGGAAGTTCCGGGAGTGAGGGCGGCACCGGGCACGGCGACGGGCCGTGGCCCATTCCCCACCACCCCTGGCCCGCTCAATAAATATGCGAACGCCAGTCGCGTGTCCGTGTTTGTGTCCGGTGTCCTGCGCTCGGGGTCGCTGCACGGAGCGGGGGGCGGGCAGTGTCTCCGCCGGGCGCCCCGCGGGCTCCGTCGCCCCGGAAGCCGAGTCGCGCGGCGGCGGCGGGGGCAGGCGAGGCGGGACCCCCGCCTGGCTGTAAAGGCGGCGGCCCCGGGTGCTGCGGCCGCACCGGCGCCGTGCGCGCTGCTCGTCCCGGGCCGCCCCGCCGAGCCCCGGTACCGGCCCCGCCACTACTCGGGGGGCAGAACCTCGGGGCTGCTCTCTGACCTTTGCCGGTTGCCGCACACCAGCCGCTCCGACACCGACGGCTCTGCCGACCCCGGTCTCCCTGTGCTGCTGCCCAGCTCGGCTGATCCGCCCTCAGGCTCCGCTCCGCGGTGAGTACCGGGGCTGACTCAGGGGCTTGGGCTACTCGCTACGGGACGCTGGGCACGGTTCGTGTTCCCACCGCAGGCTCTGGAGCCCCCTCACCCCCGCGGTGCTCTGCAGTTTGCAGCCAGAGAGGGGTTCCCACCCTGGCAGGTGCTGGGCAGGCTGGGGGCTCCCCATCTCTGCTAGCCAGCAGTGCGCTGGCACAGACTCCGCACCGTGTGACAGTGTCTCCTGCAGGTGCTGTGCGTGACAGACGTGGCCGTGGAGCTGCCAGCAACTGGCAGGAACCCGTGGCACGCTCCAGTGTAAGGCACACACGACTCTGTCCTTGGACCCCGTGGACTGTGCAGATGCCTGAGCCAGTGCTGGTGGCTCTGGGGTGACAATAAACATGCTTGGGATGGCTCTGTCTTGCCTGTCCTTGGGTAGGGAGGCGCAATGGGGGAGCCCACCCAAATCTGGGGAGCTCTGGGCTGCTGAGTCCACCACTCCCTCCTGTGGTGCTGAGGCTGCTCAGATACCCAGCAGAACAAAATCCTTATGCTCAAGGAGGGCCCAACGCCTGTGGGAGCTGCAGGGCACAATGCAGGGACAGCAGGGGTCAAGGGTCTGTACTGCATAGCAGGTGACTGTAGACACAGGGTTCCTGTCCCTGTCTCCCCCCAAACAGAAGGGCCCTGCTCCCCCTTCTGATGTGGGTACAGCACTAAGGTTGAGCTCTTTGTCCTTAAGGACAGACTCCCCTGCAGTGCCCACAGGAGGGGGCAACGGGCTGCAGAGGGGGAATTTGTGCACACAGCTCGCAGAGTCCAGGAAGGGGCCAGCAGGTCAGTCCTGGCTGCTCTGGGGCTGAGGAGCCATGGGAGCTGCAGGGATGCAGTGGGACTGTGACACACCTTCCCCGTACCATTGCAGTGGGGCTGCAGCACAGGTTCCCTATGCCCCCTTTCTGCTACCTGGGCTCGAGCCCCAAAAAGACCAATGCACAACTCTTCAACATTTTATTAATGATCAGCAACAAAAGTTTACAAGAGAGAGGACACCAGATGGAGCCTGGAAGGACCATCTGGCACAGTGCAGTGAGCTGCTCAGGATACCCACCACAGTATCCTGGAATGTAAGAGGCAAAAGGGGCTCACAGCTCAGGACCCACTCTCCCAGCCCTGTACCTCCCCTTAGATGCAGGTACACTGCATGTCAGCCATCAGAAAACAACCCTAAAACTTCACCTGGCCAGGTCCTGCCCTCAGGTAAGCCATCGGGCACAAGGTGGGCACAGTCCACACAAGGCATTGAGTCCTGCTGCCTCACAAATGGAAGAGCCTTTGGGCAAAGGCCCCAGGATCCCTATGCCTTGTGTGGAGAAATGCCTTCACCCAGCATCACCTGCCCCTTCAGCAGCTGCCACCTGCAGCCTGGCACTGGGGCAGCAGGAGCTGAGAAGAGGCAGCATCTCTGGCAGCCAGCCCCTTGTTCCTGAGCAAAAGCTGCAGGAGGAACCATGTAAGCCCTGTCTTGTCCCTGAGGCTGCTCTCACTGTCTGTTCGGCCACCCACACCACTGCCAAGGGGCTGCTCTGGAATGCAGACCCCAGTCAGGACAACTGAGTCTGGCAGGGCAAGGGGACATGGGCAGCTCCTCCACTTCCCTCCTACTAAGAGCCAGAAATGGCAGAAGGTAAAAGCACATCAACGTGTTTAAACATTAGTTATAATTAAAACTTTTTTTTTTTTGTCAAATCTCCTGGGAAAAGGGACAGGGACTGATTAATGGAGATAAAACTAGGCAACGGAATCCCAACTCGTTATGTCTGCATAATTAGTGCAGGAGGAGCTAGGACAGCAGAGGGCAGGACAGCACATCCTGCGTGCCAGCAGTGCTGCCCCCCTTCAGGGGTCCTTTCCTGAAGAGCAGTTGCTCTCCAGAGGGTGAGGTTGCAGCACTCTGTGGCTCACGCATCCACGCTCTGCTGCCTAGTGCTTCTCCTCCTCCAGCCTTCTCATGGCCTCCAGCACTGCCAGCTCTTTTGCTTCTTTCTTCTGGTTACGAGCCTCAAACTCGAGCCTGCAAAAATCATGCAATGCCCTAAGATTCTCATTCATCCAGACTTCTTGTAAATAGAAGCACCTGGAACAGGAGAGCACTGTATGCTGCTCTGTTCTGAGAGCACTTCAGAAACCCCCCAGGACCCCCAGACTCATCCAGAGCCTCTCCCAGAGCTTCCCATGGCTGCTGCCAGCACTCTGCAGTCCTGCACTCCCACACAACTTCTTTCTCCATCTGTGGAAGAAGCTGCTATGACATTCTTGGGCTGTCCTGGGCGTTACAACACCAAAATCAAATTTATCACTGATGCGAGCCAAGGTGTTGAAAGTGAAGGACTCAGGCCTAAAAGGCCAAAGCTCTGAAAGAAGCAACATGCCCTTTCCCCCAGCATACAGCAAAGGAAATTTATCATTAAAGGAGAAAAACCAATAAATGTGCCATGCAGCACGTTCTGATACAGCAGAGTCCAGCTGTTCCTTTCCTTGTAAAGATTGGTACAACCACATTTACAGTCTGCCCAAGCCATGAAAGAAGAAGGACAAGTTTGCTGACTCTATGCCTCTAGGTAACACCTTTTCTCCCTATTTGGTCCCATTCATCAGTCCCCAGACACTCTGGATGGAACAGTATGTGACAGAACCAAGAGACAAAGAAATCCAACCTGTTCTTGATGATTCTTTGCACAATTAGATCTGTGGTGAGATTGCTACCACTGTCCACCAGCTGGAAAATGCCACGTCGCTTCGGTTCCTGCAAACAGAGCCCTGTGCTGTGGAAACACGTGGGACCTGGGTGTGCAGCTCAGCAGTGACAGCTGAGCTGAGCTCTGGCAGGTCCTGGGACAGCCAGCCAGGCAGGATGCACAGTGATCTCCTCAGAGGCAGAACAAACACTTGCTGAAGGCAAAGCTCCACATACATGGGAGCTGCACAGGACGGAGAGCAAAGCACACAGGATTTCTCAGCCTGCCATGAAGGCATCAGAAACAGGCGGAGAAAAAAAAATGGTTGGAAGAGTGGAGCTGTTGGGAACTATTTACTGACTGCTCCACGTAGCTGCCTTTAGGGGTGGATGAAAAGCTGCATCACCTGCCAAAGCCATACCCAGGTAGGCTCCTCTGCAATACACCTTCTCAGTCCAGGAACACAACCAGAGCCAGGCTCTGTCTATCCATGCTGACAAAGCACCTGGTACTTTACCTCATATGGATCAGAACCGTCCTTGTCTGGCACCACCTCAGTCATCCCATGACAAACAAGTGTTACCTGAGAAGGATACAAAAGTCAGTAACAAGATCCAAAAGATGACAGGGACATTTCCTGCCGCTACTCCCACTGAGCACACCCCGGAGACCTGCAAAGCCACCCTCCTGCAGCAGCCTGGCAGTCCCAGTCTGAGCAGGACTCTCCCTCCTTGCACCCCTGTGTTGTCCTGCACCACTTTAGCTCCCCACACACATCTTCAAGTATGCAAGGACTCACCCTAAAGTGATCCAACAGATCAGCAGTGACAGCGTAGGGAGCTCCAATCACCACCTCTGAGACATACTAAAAAAGGAACCAGGTAGAGTCCAGATTTGAAAAAAAAAAACCCCATCAAACAAAAACCCAAAACCCAATCCCAAGCCAGAAGCCAGCTGCTTCTTAAAGAGACCTGAGCAGGTCACCTGGCTATAGAGTCAGAGGTTCAAAGAAGGGAACAGAGAAGTGGGTTCAGCAGCAACTGCTTGTCACACAACAGCTTTTTGTTCCTCTACAGAATGTCCTTTCTGTGCCTATAGAGCAAATCCAGAGGTTAATTGCTCCGGGCACACATTTCTGGGGCTCCCCAAGATTTTGTCCCAGGCATTTCTCCCTCTGCAGGGAGCAGAGTTTTCTAGTGGCAGTGTCCGACTGCACAGAGCCACACAGCTCCCTACACAGTGTCCAGCTCTGTCACTGCTGGCAGAGCAGCTGGGTCACCAGTTTGGATCAGCCAGGATGGCACAAGAGCCTGGCAGAGCCTCCCAAGAGCTCATCAGCACCTCTGGCAGCCTCAAGTGATTCATCTTGTCTGTCTTCCCAGGCCACCCCAAGGAACTCATGCAAGATCACTGAGCACAAGTGAATGCCACCAGGCTTCAGCACTTTCTGGAAGTGCAGAGACACCCACTCACCCTGCAGGCCAGGACACTGAGGGTTCGCTCATGGATGTTCATGATGGGATAGTTCTTCCCTTTGTAGCGATTCACCTCCTACGGCAAAGCACCAGTCAAAAGAGAGACAGAGCAGCTCCTTTCCCTCTTGCTTTCTCCCAAAATGAAATTCCCATATTGGTCAATACATCCCTGTCCTGTCTCCCGGAGCACAGCCTGCCTGGTTCAGAGAACAGGCCCAACCTGCTCTGCCTTTGGACAGGTTCCACACAGACCTGATCGAAATGCAGCCCAGCAATGATATAGGGTTTCTCTGCCAGCTGGTGAACCTTCTCCAGGAAATCCACATGACCAACATCTGCAGATCTGTTTAAGGAATTGAAGCTCACATGGAAAATAGAGGAAGGAAGACAGAAATAGAGTTACTAAAAAACAACAGTGGGAGACAGGAATCCCTAGGATTTTATTCTTGCACCACTAACTGCCAATTTCCAAGAACAGTTGCTGCCTCCCTCCTCAGGTTCCACTGGTTCTGGGTAAAAGCCAGAGACTTTTTCAGCTCCACCTTACACGGACGCAGCTTTGCCTCTATCCAGAATTTCTACTTGTTCCGGATGTTCTGGCACAAAGCCTCAAAGCCTGCCCCAGGAACAGTGTGTCAGCTGCAGATGCTATGGCAGCCACTCTTCACCACAATCATTAGAGTGTTGAGAGTATCCGTCTTCCTGAAATCCAACAGCCACAGATCACTCCACAGAGGAGCTACAGCTTCTTTCTCAGCATCCTGTGACCAAGAAATTGCCAGAAGTCACTCCTGACTTCTCTCTCATGTGCAGCTACAGAGAAGGAAAAAAAAATGAGGCAAATATCCAGTCTGGTGCCTCCCAACATGAGAAGGTGAAAGAAGGACCACTGCTGCAAGCAAGGAGAGTCAAGGATACGGAACAGGTCGAAGGCTCCAGCCACATAGATGATGGTGTCTCCTGGCTGTGGCTCCTTCCCTGACGCAAACTGGATGATCTTCTGGGATGTCTGCAGGAACTGCGAGACGCCAGTCCAGGGACTGTGACCTTTGGGCCCCTGTGGAAACACACATCAGACACAGCTTCTTTTCTGGCTCTGTGAGGGGGTTTGGACAACAGAGCAGTGCTGGGCAATCTGCTCATCTGAATTTGCTGGCAACTGTAACAACTCCCAGCACTTTGGACTTTCTACATTCCTGGCATCAAGTATTTAGGCAATTTCACAAAAGCTCTTTACACTCTGTCTAAATCATCGCCTCAGCAGCCAGCTCAGGAGACGCCAAGAAGAAAGCTCAGGAAGGAGGAAGACAACAGGGCAGGTTTGAATTTCCAGGAGAAGCAAGACGTGCTCGGAAGACAACACACAACCAACCTAAGCTCTGCCAAGCCTCAAGGGACCTGTCTGGCCCCTCAGCTCCGAGGACAGAGCTCGGTCCCCACCGCGTGGCAGCTGCACAAACAGCCACCAAAGTCACCTGCTGTGCTACCCAAAGCTGCTCCAGCCTTGGCAGGACACAGACGCTGCAGCTGAGGCCAGAGCAGGCCCTGCAAAGGGCAGCACGCAGACAGCTCAGCTGTCAGGGTCACATAGGGTACCCAGTGCCCTGATCCATTCTACCCACATCCAAGCTCCAGGAAACAGCCATGCTGGAGCAATATGCCCCAAAACACCTAGTCAAAATCCCCAAAATAGTGGAGAACTAAGGATGACTCAGACAGGTCAGCAAATCCCCTGTGAGTAAAAAAAACTTGCTCAAGCTGCTGGTGCAGCTCATTAAGCAGGGACAATCCAGCTGCCAAGGAAATAACCAGGGCTGGCAGCTCTTTAGAAGCAGTGTGAGCCACAGGCTGGACCTGGCAGCTGGAACGCCAAAAGGGCTGTTCTGCCCTCGAGCTCTGCAACACAGAGGGCTGTGTCCACACCTCCCAAACCTCATACAACACCTTCAAAACAACACAAGCACTGAAAGGAGCATCCACAGAGGCTGTCCTTGGGCTGGAACCACGGGCACTTGGGTCCCAAGGGAAGTGGCAGGAAGGAATTTACAAGCAAGGAAGGAACCCAGCACAGGCTCAGTGGCAACAGCAGCCCTGTGGTGCCACTGAAGGACAGCTCACGTGCTGCCCTGTGCCACACCTGCCCATCACACCCACTGCAGCCGCTGCCACTTGGGGACGGCACACATTCACTGAGACGTTACTGCTACACGTGGGAGGACAAACAAGCCTGCAACAGGCCAGAAAGCACACTGGGAATCCTTCTCAGGCAGGACAACAACCAGACGTCCACGACCAGAACTCACATTACCTTCCCAAAGTTGTCAGTGTGCTTCCGATAGTCTAGGTCCTCATCCTGAAGGGAGATAAAGAGTCAAAATGTTTAAGCACTTGCACAGCTCATCCAACCAAGATATGCTTGTGTGTAGGAAGTGCTGGGAAGGCCAGGCTCAAAACGCACACCAGGGATCAGGGCACTGAATGCTGACAAACTGGTTAATACCTAAACCAGAGCCCTATCCCAGCATGAGTCAGAGGAAATGTGTCCTTATCTGATTCCAGCTTGGCACCACCAGCAAAGGTGGCTCTTGCCCAACCTGCAGCCCCAGGAATGCTGCACAGCTGCATCCTCCCTCAGCCTGGCGAGCCCCTGACAGGACAGCATCCCTTCTCCTGCCAAACACCTTCACAAGACGCAGGCTTAGGTATCTGCAGCAGCACCAGGCAGATCTCAGTGTGAACTCGTGTTTCAGCTAAGCCGATTTAGCAGCTCAGCACACCAAAACATCTCCCTCTGTCCCTGAATTCGCCTGTGGGTCATTTGTTTCTGCAGTTATCCAGGTGATTCTATTCACAGATTCCTTCATTACTCAGTAAATTCAACTCATTACCTGACATAAAACCACTGACTTTTTCTCCCTGGTTAGGTTAGCTCCCAGCCAGAGAGTGAGCTGAGGAGACTCAGGAAAGGTCTGATTAGAGACAATAGAAGGCAGAAGCATGAAGCTCAGTGGGAAGGGAGAGGAGTTGCCAACTCTGGCAGCACCTGGCTGACAGATCAATGTGCCTGCACTGTTGATTCACCCTGAGAGACGTCACGGGCTTGCCTGCAGCTCCCCTAACGTTCCGAGGCCCACATTGATCATGAGGCATCAGAGTCCTTGTCCCATCACACTGTGATTTCAGACATGTTGAAGCAAACATAAGCAGGTTGTTTTGGTGCCCGTTCTCCATGCACCTGGGAGCCAGGCCCAGGAGCTCGGGGCAGCAGAAGGGAAGAGCTGGCACGTGCCCTGTACTTGACCTCCCACCCAAAGCCCTCTGACTCACTATGTTGCTGTGGTGAGCCTTAGTCATGAGCAGCATGCGGCCAACAAGGTCCGTGGTGGACACGCCCTGAGTGCGTTTGCATTCCCTGCGGGAGACAAGCAAAGGATGAAGCAGAAGCCCCAGGAGCGAACGCCTCTGTCTGCCCACGTTACCACAGGAACGCCTGTGACACCGGATAAATCCAAGCCAGGGCTGTCCTAAGGAAGCTTTCCTTCTCAACTATAGCGTTTATTTGCTGAGCCTGTGCATCATCCACACCAGCATCTGCTCGTGTGGATGCTTCCCTCACTCAGACTTCCCAACAGAGCCAGCTCTCAGTGAGGCTTTAAAGCCAGAACAGCGCCTGCCAGGAACCAGGCAGCCCCACTGAGCAGGACTGTCTGCCCCCCTTCCCTGAAGCCAAAATACTGGGAGCAATTGAAGCTCTGACACACATGCAGCTAAATTCAGGTGTGACCTGAGACTGGTATGTTTCATCTAACTTCCCTTCAAGGCACAAATTCCCAGAAACTCTGCCCAAAACAAGATAAACAGGTAAGATAAGCAGCAAGAGGTTACCTGTATCGCCCTGCTGTCTTTACTTCCTCATAGGTGTCCTTGCCATCAATAGTTAAGGTGATATCATCTGCAGAGAGAGAAAAGCCTCAGAACTGTACCCAAGCTCTCCTGCACAAAAGCAGCAGCTGTGCAGGTCCCACACACCTAAATCCAGACAGGAACTCTGCAATCCAAATCCCTGTGCATACACAGGAGACATGTCCTGTGCCCCACAAAAATGTCAGGGGTTTTTGAAACTACTGTGTCTGTGGATACAAGAACATTCCTGGATACTAAACACCATTACCCATCTGTGCACTGCTGGGTGCCCTGCAGCAGCAGGCACAGCTGATTATTGTCTGGATGAAAATAAACAAGCACTACCTGTATCAATGTTAAAAAAGAACCTTTCGGTTCATATTACAAGTTTTCAGTCAATGAAACAGTTCATCCCACGGAAAGTTCTTCCTCTCAATGACTGCACTTCCACAGTGACATCCAGCTTCTACAGAGGCCATTCCAGTTCATCCCTGGCACATGGCTCCCAACTGCAGAAACACCTCTCACATACTTTTGGTGATGGAACAAAACCTTCACAAACAAAAGCTTAGCTGGTTTCCCTTTGCCAAAACAGTCAGAGGGCAGCCCACGAGTGTGCCCACACAATGAGGAGCCTCAGTTCTCCTAAAACCCCACACCCTCCCCTCACAGCACAGGAACAGGAGGGCACACACTGCCAGCACAACCTGGCATGTCCAGAGAGGCACAAACTGCAGGGCTGCCATCACCTTCTCAGGGAAGCTCAGCTATTTCCAAACTCAGCTTTCGCACAAACACACCTGGTGCAGGTGTGTTGCTCAGCAGAAGCACGGAATGACGCGGCAGTGGGGACCAGCACTCCTCCACTGCCCAACCCCTCACCAAGCCCAGCCAGGGCTCACGTACACCAAACACGTTCAGGGCAGGCAATGAAGTTAATGAGGAATTTGATAACCACTCCATCCACGTGAGAAAAGCATATTTATCTTCTAAAGATTAAGGATTTATTTACACTTAGTGAAATACTTGGCTTATCAACAGCAGGTGGCTGGGATCAGATGAGAGATACACGAAATGAGTGCAAAGACTACTCCTGGTCAAACTAACAAAGTTCCTTCAGAGGGGCAGGGAGGAAGGTCTGAGGCTTAATGGGCATCAGCAGCAGCCCAGGAAGGTACAGAATCCCAGAGCAAGAACATTTCCTCAAAACACTGATTCTCTTCAGCAACAGTACACCAAAAAGTGTTCACACTAAGAACTAGGTCTCTGGCCACACAGTCAGCTGAGCCACTGAACAGATTATCAGCTGGATAAAGAGAGAAGCTTTTGAGATCTAACCTTGTCCCAGGATAAGCAGACATAAACATGATTGTATTTCTGCATGCTTTCCTTTTCAATAGTGTTTTTCACACTTAGCCATTTACAAAACTTTTCTCCTCTGCACAAATTTCTGCTGGTGCTAAGGGCAACCTCGGGATAATTTTAAATGACACATTTCACCTCTGTAATCTAAAACCAAGGGCCCTGGCCACTCTCAAGATTTTGAGCACACTGACATGTTTCTCCAGACCAGAGACCAGAAGCAGCTGTGCTGCCCAGTGCAGGTGTTGAGAAGGCAGAGTTCTACACACGTCAGGTCTCCCTGAGCCCTGCACCAGCTGGGACATTGCTGGGTTTGCAGAGGGCACCTGGAGCACACAGCCCCAAGGGTCAGCACAGCCACGGCCTCAAACTCCACTCACCCCCGTGCACGCAGAAATCACAGCTGTACTTGTCCAGGGTTTCCAGCGTGGTGACATAAGGAGCTCCAGGAGCAATCTCATCCACCCACTTGATGGCCTGCACCATTTTGTACCTCTCCTCCTGTGTAAAGACGGGGGGGCCCTTGTGCTTGGAAATCTCCTCTGGGGGAGAAACAAAATTCCAGTTAGAATCATGTCCTGCAGCTACAGTGACTCTCAGTCACTGCCTCACTCGTTTCACGGGTAGGTGAACTTCACTGCAGACTTATCCTCTGCTTTGGATCAGCCTGTGGCAGCAAAGGAAGCCTCACGTAGATCAGAAAGCGTTTTGATTCAGTTACATTTCCTAAGCATTTAAAAAGGGCTCCGGAATTCACTCAGAGGGAAGGGTCTCAGTGCTTCCCTGTACCCAGATTCTTCTTCCTGAGGGGATGAGATGGGCCTCCTGGCATCCCCCTAGGAGAAATTTCCCTCTTAAACAGTAACTTCATACTACACCTGGTTCATACTGGAAATTCTGCATCCATAAGCCCATTTAAAATACATCTTCACATGCCAGAACTTAACTTCCAGATAGCCTTGAAATTAGTGTTCTCCACAAGGTAGCTTGTTTTGGAATGTAAGTTCTGCAGATCCTACCACCAAAACCAGGCTGATTTTCAGCTGTTCCAACTGTTTTTATAGCATAGAATGCAGATTAACCCTCAGAGAGCCTGCGAGATCTGACCCCCTAATCCTCAGTCTAAAAGTGTTACAGGGTAACTCCACTCCCAGAGAAGGGACATTTTTCTCTTGGAGGCTACTGGTCCTGGAGCGGATGCAGGATGAAGCCTGACCCTATCAGGAACTCTTGGCTCTCCTGGGGCTAATGCTGCTGGGCAGTTTGAGGGGCTGCACGAGATGTAACCTGGTAAAACCTCTTACCATCCGTGTGGACCCCAACGATCAGGTAATCGCCCATGGCCCGCGCCTGGCGCAGCTGGTTCGAGTGGCCATAGTGCACCATGTCATAGCTGCAAAGAGAAGCGCCGGGTCAGCCCGGGCACACCGGGACGCGCTTCCTTGGAAGCTGCGGCCAACCTGCCCCGGGGGCTGGCCTCGGGGCTGAAGGTCTCTGCGCTGCCGGGCAGAGCTGTGCCGGCACAGCCCGGTCACCAGGGCCCGCAGCAGCGCTCCCTCCCACCGCAGCGAGCCGGCCCCGGTGCTACGGGCCCGGCTCCTCCCTGCACCTGCCCGGCAGGTGCTGCCCGTGGCCCGGGGGGAGAACGGACCGACCCCACCGGCGGCCGAAGCCAAGGGCGCTCCCGGCTGCGAGCGCTGCCGCTCGCCCGGCGCTCCGGGGCAGCTCCGCGGAGACACCGCCGCTGCCCCGCGGGCCCGTCCCCGTCCCGCCGCGGTGACAGAGGAGGCGGAGGCACCAGCGTAGCCAACACGGTTTATTTGTGCGGCGCCGCGACATCGCCCGGCCCCGCGCCCGCCCCACTCACCATCCATCGCACCAGACGCGCACGGGCCGCTGGCCGCCGCCGCCGCCCGCCGCGGCCCCGCCGCCGCCCGCCGCCCCGTTGCGCAGCATGGCCGTGCTGTCACCGGCGGCGCCGCCCCGCCCCGCCCCGCGCTCAGCGGCTCTTCCTGCGCCGGCCGCCCTTGGCGCAGCCGCGGCCGAGCCACCCCCCGGGCCGCCCGCCCGCCGCCTCCGCCCGCTCCCGGGGCTGCTCCTGCTCGCGGGGCTCCTCCCGCTCCCGGGGCGGCGCCACCGGTTTCCGCGAGTGCGTGCCCTCCTCGCCGGGCCGCAGCGGCTCGGCCAGCGCGAAGATGGGGTCCCGCGCCCTGCGGAAGGAAGGAGAGGGCGGCGGTGGGCGCTGCGGGCGGCCCCGGGCCGGGGGCTCCGCGCACAGGGCCCGGGCCGCTCACCGGTCGTAGCGCGGGATTTCCAGCCCCAGCTCCGCCATCAGCAGCCGCATCACGTCGTCGCAGCGGCCGTGCAGCTTCAGGGCGGCCAGGTCGTCCTTCGGGGTCCACTGCGAGCGACAGCAGAGCCGGCTGCAGGCAGCTCCCCGCGGCGGCGGCGGCGGGGGCTCCTGCCCGGGCCCGGCCTCGCACATCCGCAACCCCTTGGCTCACACCTGGCCCACCCAGCGCCAAGGGCTTTATCTCACCTGCAGGTTCACAATATACAGCTTGGGCCGGCGCGTGGGGGGCTTGCTCATGCACCAGAGCCTTGGGTATTTTTTCAAAACCTGCCACAAAGCACAGAGCATCAGCACAGCCACAGGCACACGCAGCTGTGAACCGTATCAGCGAGAGGAAAAGGAATGTATTACCAGGAGGGGAAAGAGGGAGGAAGAGAGACTATCACAGATGTTGGGCGAATCCTGACACCAGAGTTTACAGTTGTCTGTTTGGGAGGAGACTGCTCAGCACCAAGGTGTATCACCAAGAGGGAATGCTGCTAACAATCTTCACCGAGTCTCTAAAGTTACCTTTAAGCTGGAACCCAGACAAAGAATCACATCTGCTTTGCTTGCAGCTTCTGTTGCTGCTTCCCAGTTCAGGGGCTGTCTCAATGTCCCCTTCTCCCCAAAGTGGACGATTGTATCTCTCAACTGTGCCCCACACTTGTGGCACATCCTGCCCGTGTGATGCCTGTGCAGGGCTGTGCGCTCCGTCACATCAAACACTCGCACGTACTCTCTGTTGGGTGTACAGGAAGTGCAGACCTGGTGCAGGACAAAAGCAGAAACCCTGTCACATCATCAGCATCCCACCCATGAGAGGTCTGACCACGAGCAAGCCTCTTCTCCTGGAAGAAAAGCATTTCTGGGGACAACACAGAAGTTGTAGCCAGAAGCATCAGGGATCAGATGCTAACTTGGAAAACCTCAAGTTTTTTTTGAAAACCAGCAAGCAGAGCCACAGGAGCCTTTGGCTACATGCTGGGAGGGATTTCAGAGAAGGGCTGAGGAAGAGACACCAGATGCAAAAAGCTACAGCATGTACAGAGGAAGAGCTACAGAGTTGGGTTTGGTACTTTCTAAATAGTTCACCCCAAACCTGACGGTCTGAAGACAGGAACTGCACACAGGCCAAGCCCTTGTACTAATTCCTTCTGAGCTAGTGGCAGAGCAAGAGTTTACATTCCCTTGTTGCGAGGCCACTTAAACATTGACTTTCTCCTGCTCTGGCCACTCACCTCTATGTACATGTTCCCATGGAGCTCAGATATTGCAGCTCGGGGTAACCCGCTCCGCAGGTGCAGCCCATCACAGTTCTGAGACACCACATGCTGCACCTTGAAGGGAACAAAACACTGAGCTCCCACAGACCACACAGGTATCCCTGCAAGCAGGTGATGCACGTGTCCCACATCGCACCAACAGCTTGCACATCAAAGCAGGACCCACAGGGGAAGAGCACGGTGAACAGACCTTTGTGACAGCTAAATGGAAAGCCAGCTCGTGCTAAACAGAACATTTCTAGCGCTGGCTGATTGGTGACCAGTTCCCCAGACCAGCCTCACCAGGTACAAATACATGTTAAAGAAAAGGCACCAGGGGAAAACCTGCCAGAGCTGTAGCCTGCAGCTCACTGAGGAAGGCTTGAACACATTTTCCTACATGGATATGCAGCTACTTGAGCCAAAAAAGTAGTCAGGCAATATTCTGAAAAGCTTTATCTTCCCTGCTGGGTTTATCTTTCTTAGGCAGAAGAACATGAGTGAGGTGAGGAAAAAATATCTTACCAGGTTGTGCTTGTGCAGGCAGGCAATGCTCATATGAGTGAGTGTGGGCTCTGCCTCACTCAGGTCTGCAGCCCTGACAAGAAACAAAGCAGAAAAAAAGAAGTTGGAATGGCCATTAACGTCTTCCAGTATCAGCTTTCTGTCACACAGTTCAGAATCTGCTCCTCACCTGATGCTCCTGCCCTTCTGCAGCAGTGTCCAAATGCCATTGGGGCCTCTGTAGTCTGGGATCGAAGCCGCCTGTCACCAGGAGAGAAAACCAGGCCTGACGAGGGCGGGGTTGCCACAGCTCTTGTACAAACTGTGTACAACCAACCCAGGCCCACCCAGACACCTCCATCCATGGCTGCTTTTTCATTCACTGAGTTCTCCAGCATAGCTGTTCCTAAACCAGGGAAACCTCCTCATATGTTTTCCAGCTCTCATCTACACCTCTAGTGTTATCTTTCTCCAATTTTGCCCTTATGGAATCCCTCCAGAATTCTTTTTCATCCTTGGTACTTCCCATTTCCCTACACAGAACTCCATTCTTGAGCCTTTTCTTATTTTCCCTAGATTCTGGTTCTGGCACCTCACACTAAGCATCTCTAGCAGACATGCAGGTGACATGAGCACTCATGTCCTGCCCTGAGTCATGCTCCATTTCAGCGGAGAATGGAGTTACAGGGCTCACACGAAGGTGATAGATGATACATTAGAAGAGGTAAAACCAGATTGCTGCTTTGCCCCAGGCCGCTGCGACAAAACAATTCTCAAACTGCTGTTTGTAGGTTCCAATAATCCCCAGCTGTCTCTGCATGTCTGATGACACATACAACATCCCTGAGCGAACTGGCTTAAGGTTTTACACCAAGTCACTGAGGAGAGTTGAGTGAGCTGAGACCAGTGTCCTCTCGCTCAGGCTGCACATCCTGCATGGGGTCGGAGGCAATGCAGCCACAGGATCTCCTGGGCAGTAGGAATGACCCCAGGATCAGCCTGGAGACTATGCTGGCTGCGGGACTCATGCAGCACCCCAGGCTCATCACACACGTCCTGTGGTCATTCAGGAACCAGGCAACAACCCACACACCACTGCCTCCCGAGGGGGCTCCAGCTGCTGCCCCCAGACCCACCGTGCTGATCCCAGCGCCCGTGTAGATGACGAGGTGCCTGGCGCTCCGCACAGCTGCTGCCAACTCAGTCACCTTTCTCTTCAGCTCCTCTGGTTCATCGCACACCTGACAAACACACCTCAACGGGTTCACAGAGATACACTACGCCACCGAGTCACAAAGAGCAGGGATCTCCCCAAAAGTCTGAATATAGGCTTGGGCCAACCAGGAAAAACAACACAAACGCAACATCAACAGCGAAATTAAATTAAAAGGACGTGGGCATTGTTCATGGGAGGATCACGGGAAAAAAGCTTCCTGGAGACCAGAAGCTGCTGATCCACCCTCTTGGGAGACCTGCCCACACCGCGCGGGCCTGGCAGCACGGCTGACCGGAGACAAACACACGGCGGTCCCCGAGGGCAGACGCGTTCCCGGTACTGGGCCACAGCGGTTGTTCACCGAGGCCTGCAGCGGCTGCAGAGCTCGGCAGCAGCCAGCTCGGCGGCCGGGGCCGCTCCGTGCCATCACCAACCCCCGTCACCGACACCCGTCACCGACACGGCTTCCCCGCTCCCGCCGCGACCCCGCCGCCCACCTCCTCCTGCCGCCGCCGCAGCCGCTCGCGCCGCTTGCGGCGCCGCTCCAGCTCCCTGACGATGTCCTCGTTCTCACTCAGCACCTGGCACTCCTCAGGGCTCCGCTCCGCCGGCGGCTTCCTCCAGATGCGGGATACCTGCCCGGTGCACACGCCTGGTCACGGCGGCCCGCAGCGGCGAGGTGGAACGGGTCGGGCCGCGTCTCCGTACCTGTCTCCGGCGGTCCCGCTGCTCCTCCTGCTGCAGGATCTCGGCGCGCGCCGCCGCTTTCCGCTCGGAGCGGCTCAGGCTGCCGCCCGCCGCCATCGCCCCGGAACCGCCGCGCCTCCGCCGCCGCCGGGCTCCGCTCCGCCGCTTCCGCCTTCCGGTCCGAGCGCGCGCGCGCCGCTTCCGGCACCGCCCCCCGCGCGGCAGCGCCCCCTGGTGCCGGGCGGCCCCCCAAGGACGCGCAGGCGGCGGCTGTTGAAGCGGTTTATTGTCGCGTACAAAGGCGGCCGACACTGTACAGAATAAATAACGGCAATAACTTAGCAATAAATACCGCCTGCACCGAGCCCGGAGCCCTCTGGGTGACCCTTCTGTCCGCCAGCCCCGGCTCCGGCCGGGAGCGACTGTACACAATTCACGAGATACACAAATCCCGGGGGTGCCGGGGCCGCTCCCCAGTCGGGCTGGCGCAGGACCCCTCCCCAGCGCCCCGGAACGGCACCAGGAAAAGGAGAAAGGGAACACGACACCCTTCACAGCAGGAAACCAAACGGACGAGCACCTCAGGAACAAGAATTGTCACACTCCAGAACACTATATACGAGGGAGAGATCAGCGTGACGGCTGGGGCAAGGGTCGCCTGGCACGGGCACGGGAAGCCGGCTGGCAGGACACAGCATCCCCCGGGGCCGGACGGGAGACTCCTTGGACACTGCGCAAATACATCGCTCAGGGTCCTACACTTCACTGAGAACAAAACCTAGGGGAGCAACGCTCGGGGCCGTGGCCTCGCTGACATCCAGCCCGGCACCTGCCGAGCTTGTTTTGCACAGTGGCACCTTGCAGTCACGGCCTTGCACCTTCTCTTCCCTACACGAGCTGTCCTCATTGAGCACACAGGCCACTTAGAGCAGACCAGGGCTCCGAGCAAGGAGGGACAGGCAGGGCAGGAGGGACGCCGTGTGGTGCAGTGCTGCCAGCCCTGTCGTGCCTCAGGACAGAGCAGCACCAGCCCCTGACCGGCAGCAGCACGGCTGCCACGGCAGGCGGGCAGGGACTGGGCACCCCCTGCCACACAGCACAACAAAAAACAACTTCTCCGTGGCTGCAGGGTTGCCCATCGTTGCCTGCTGTGTTGATGGGGGCCTCCTCACACCAGAAGCTCCAGGTGTGGAACCAAGAGCCTAACCAGCCCCATACACACCTTGCCTGCTCCTCCAGCCCAGATCAGGACTCAGCTGTGCTCCAAAGGGCTCTGGCTGATTCAGTCTCAGGCTGGGTTTAGGAGGGACAGGGTTGGGAATGACACCCCAAGACAACTGGACACCTCTGTGTTCTGTAAAATCTCATTTCTCCAGTCACCACACAGCCAGCTGGAAGACCAGAGCCTGCTGAGCACTGTGCAATGTGTGGCCTGTGTGGTGAATGGCTGGAAGTGGCACATCAGACACTTCAGAGAAGAGAAAGTCCAGGGCCAGAAGGGGGAAGTCTGGAGGCAATGTTCTAACCTGCTCCTCCTTTGGAAAGTTTACTTGGAAAAGTATCCCAAACAACTCCCTAAACTCCCTATCAGAGCAAAGCTGATCTCCAGCAGGAAATCCCCATCAACTACCTGCTCCTCTCCTGCCACACTGCAGCTTTTCTCAGGCTCACCTGCTCCTCCACTCAGGGACAGCAGTATCAGTTCAGCTATGAGAAACATCCCCAAAACCTATCCAGGATGGCCATACCTCCCCACGAGGTTCACGTCACTTGTGTTATCCCAATCTGCCTCCTGCACTCAGATCTTCAGCAGCCAGGTGATCACATGGGCTTCCCCCTCATGTCCTGCTTCCCTAAAACTCAGTAAATGAGCTCAAATCTTTAGGAACGGGAGAGGGGAGTCAAATCAAAGTGTTTGTGGAAAAGGAGCCTGGCCACAAACAGCTTGTCAGCTAAATCACAGCTGTGAGCCTGAGCATTCTCCTAACCCCCGGGCAGAAGCTGCCCCAGGAAGGACAGTGATCCTGCCACAGCTCACTGGCCAGCTATGTGTAGACACCAGGGACCAGCCTGTCCCACGTTGCCCCTCTTGTTGCAGACTTGCCCCTCTTGTTCAGGTGAGCCATGAGCACAACACAAGTTCTGACCACAGGATGTAATTCCAGAGCTAAATCCCATCAGTCTTCTCCTAAAGCTGGACAAGTCTCCCTCACACTACTTCTCTGACAGGTTTGCTGCATGAAGGAAAATGCAGCATTTTTGCTCTCCAGGTACCCAAGCTAACCTGGTGTTGGCTGCTCAGCAGGAGCTGCCTGTGCTCTCGCTGCACACCTCGCTGCACCAGCCAGCCATTCTTGTCTTCAAAAACACCAGCACCTTTGCCTATGCACCAGAACCCTTCTGGAGAATTCAGAGAGATTCCAACTCAATCTCTCAGTCGAGTTTAGGGAAAACGACAACAGTGTGAAATGACAGCACATGGCAAAGGCACCAGCACAGCACAGCGCCGCACGAGAGCTCGGGGACCAGAGCACCCAACACAAGGGAACACGACAGAAACTAGCAAGGTCAAGAATAAGTCACTTTTGGTACAATTGCAAAAAGATATCAAATAGGACTTGCCTCTTTTTTTGTCTTTTTCTAGGTTTTATAAATAAAGTCTGATAACTCTTTATAAAAACTAACCTCAGAGCCACAAACAGTTTGCGGGAGGTTCATGAGAAACTTTAAAATTATTTATTTATTAACTTTTAACTAGCAAAGTCTCTGAGAATATTTCCCCACTCATATGGTCAAATATTCTCGCCTTCTCAGGTAAAAAAGCTGACTATAAATACGCTCTCTCTTCTGTCCAATTTTAAACTTAGATAATTTAATAACTCTTAAAATGATGTTTCTCTCTTTAAATAAAGGGCTATTTAACCACATAAACTGGTTGTGTAAACCATCACACTAGAGACACTTTATACCCTCAAAACACGGGAACAACTAGTGATTTTGGTCTTGTTCAGTGCAACACATTAGGCACAAAACCGGCCTGCAGTCAACACAGTACCACTGCTCCCTTCTTCCCTCCCAGGGTGCTGGGCCCTGCAGGGCCTCAGGACCACAGCAGCAGGACACAGCAGCGCCATCCTTCCCACCACTGCCAGTTTACACAGCTAACGCCATGGACGTCTGAGGGAAACCCACGGTTAGGGCACAGAGGCACACCTAGAAAGGAATAAAAACCTATGACACAGAACACCCCAACTGTAACTACAGGTACCAAAGGAGACAAAAGCAGCAGGTTCAGGCGCTGAGATGCACCACCTGGAAGAGTCATGAAATAAAGCCTTTGGAAGTGACCGAAAATTAGGGTTGCCAGCCCCCAGGAAGAAAGCTTTCCTCGGGCCACTCCTCCACCCTTCTGTCAGCCACGCTGCACAGATTTTCTTTGGGTAGAAAACCAAAATCTCACAGTCTGTTCCCCAGGGCACCCGAGGGCTACAGACTGCTGGGTGGGAAGCTCTGTCTGCACAGGACAAGGGATGCATCACCACTGCTCATACCAATCTGGACACAACAAAATAAACTGGAGCGATCAGCGGGCCAGTCCTGGGCCAAGTCAAAGGAACCCGGACCCATGTGGGGAGGGCTTGTGCTTTGGGGATTCCAGGCTGGTTTTGTGCCTAACTGCCCTGCACAGACAAGCTCAGGCAACGCTCACTTCACTAAGACCGGGCGTCCGTTTTGGATTTCACTATTGTGATGACACTAGTAGTAGCAACCTTGCCAGGGACGAGGGGCCCCATACTGGAAGTAAGAGGCCCCCGTGCAGGGGTCACGGGGCTCCGGGCCACGGTTCTGGCGAAGTTCTGGAGAGCCTCATATTTGGAGCGGAGAGCATCGAGTTCCATTTTCATGCTGGCGTTCTCTGAGGCCAGCTTCTCCACTTCTTGCTGCAGCTCTGCCTTCTGCTTCTCCAGTTCCTCCTTCTGGGTAACGCGCTTCACTCTGCAGCTGGCTGCGTAACCCCGGTTCTTCAGCGTGCGCCGACGCTGCTTCAGCTGGATGATCTCCTCTTTCGACAGGCCCCGTAAATGCTGGTTCAGCTCTCGCACAGACATGGTCACCAGCTCCTCATCTGTCAAGCTGGTCCCATTCTCGCCTGGCTCCCTCTTCACCTGGGAGAGAAGGCAGCACACACTTGTGAAAGCTGAGGGGGACACCTAAACCCATCCCTGCACCCCCTCCTCCACCCACCACGTTACCTTCAAGGCCTTGTTTCCTTTGTTGGGGGTCGTCATAACACGACAGCCTTGTCAGCTGGGTTCTGGAAGGGAAGGAAGGTCAAATTAGCGCCTGGGACACAGCAGAGTCCACAGCATTCCTCTGGCAGGGTCCAGCAGCAGCGCCCCATGGTGCTCCACATCCTGGTCCCCACTTAGCCCCGGCCCCAGAAGACACTCAACAAGCAGCCAGCTGAGCTAGACTCACATGAAGCAGACTCTGTCCCTGAGCAGAAACTGCTGTCCTTCCACATCTCTGCTCCTATGGAGACTTTGTGGCAACGCTGCCTTTTTGTTTATGGTGGGGGAAATTAAAAAAGTAGGAGGAGTCAGAATACACGGAAGCCACATTTTAAAAAATAGCCTTGCAAGCAGCAGGCAGGGTCCAGAGCATGGCTGCTCCAGGCCAGTCATGCTGACTCAGCAGGCTGGCACTCTGCACCACTTGCTCCCAGCCTCATCCTTGTCACTCCCAAGCAGGGCAGGTTACCTTAATATGTCCTTCCAACAGGTGCCCAAGCACAGCTCAGAAGCTCTCCAGTCCTACCAGACTCCAGATGCCCCCAAGGATGCAGCCAGTACGGTTCAATAAGATATAACCCTGAGCAAGGGGTACAGGGAAAGCCTTGGACACACTGGAATTCCATCACAAATCCGGGTTGATGCCTCAGCAGCCTCCACCTCTCCCAGTCACGCAAAACTGACCCCAGTTGTAGGTCTTTTCTATGAGAAAGTACCTGTCAACCCCTGGCATGCCAGGGCCCTGAAACACATTCTTCCTCCTTATCTTCAGAGCCAAGGTGTGCTCACAAGAAAACAAAGATTAAAAGTGCCAAAAAACAGAGCAGAGCAGACTCCTTCCCTGCCATGGGAGACAAGACTTTAGAACTGGTAAGAGCAATTCCCAGGCCTGCTTTACAGAGACTTTTACCCAGGCTCCTGCTTCTTTCCCCACATACCTCTTCCCCTCAGGCTTTTCAGTTCAGACTGCTAGTACACTGCCCAAGGAATTATCCATACAAATACCACCTGACAGACGTGGCTGTGCCTCTGACAGCCCAAACTGCACTCCCCTCTCAGACTGCACCCACTCAGCCCTGGCCAGTACTCCTGTGCAGCCTACAGGTGCCCCTTCCCTTTTCATCTTGCAGGCGTCAAACAACAATTTTGTTTGCCCCTGCTTTACTCCCAGCAGGACTGATGTCCAGTTACAGATCAGAAACAAATGCACACATCATCAAGTACAACTTTGTGCTCTTCCAGCAGCTGTGGCACAGGCTCTCTACAGTGCATCCATGACCTACGGGAGGTGAACAGGACTAGCAGTCCCCAGAACACCATCAGAGATATTCCTGAAGCCTGCCAGGAGCCAGGCTATTTATATATACCTAGAGGACAATGCTCCTTCCAACAAGATGTCTGCTACACCCGATCACACTGGCATGGGCATGGTCATTTGCTGCCCAAGGAACGCAGCTGCAACGAGGCAGGACCGGCAGCACACAAGCAACTGCTGCATAAAATCAATTCTTCCCTCCTTCCCAGACTGCTGTTTATTCCTTCTGTTCCTACCTGGTAAACAACATGTCTGTTGTGAAAAGGGGAGAGGAAAGGGAATAGCTGGAGAGACCAACGTGCATGTCCCTGCAGCACTTCTGTGCCCCATCCTCTTGTGAGTGGAAGGCATCAAGGGCAGGTATGGTCAGTGGGACCATGGGAATTTGCTTGCACTGTGGCACTAAAGAATTTAGAGCTGCCTGGCAGGCACACAGGCTGCCTTCATTACAGCAGACCCAAAATTAAACAAACAGGGCACACACATGCAGGGCACTGGGAAGAGTGCTCCTCATCAGGATGGGGAATGGCTGGTGCTAGCACAGCTAGACACAGCAGAGGCAGCTACTCGTTCCTGCCTCTATATTCTCTAACACAACACCCATTGGAGCTGCAACAGGACTGTCCCCAAAATCCCGGTGATCCCACCTCTTCAAGGTGCAGCAACACACAAGGCAGTCAGTAGAATGGGAAGAACACTAGAGAGAGTTTCCTGGGTCTTGTTTTAACCGGGCTGTTTGGCAGTTCACAAAGAGAATACGCAGAGAACTGGCGACATATCAGAGACCAAACTTCGCCTTACTCTCCAGACTGCTGATGGATCAGCTTTTGATAGCTTCCTGAAGAAAGATCACACTGAAAAGTGCCAAACACTATGGCTGCAATGAAGAAACTGCAGCCTCAACACATTTCCCCAGAGCTCAAAAGGCCTGAACTCAGCACAAGCACAGCCAATTCTCTCCTCAGCTCAGCGGCAGCACATGGGAACTGACAGCAGCACGCATGAACCAACACGGGCCCTTCTCCACACTCCTGATGTAGAGCCCCGCCACGAGCCCATGTAAACACGGTGATGTCACCTGCTCCAGCGCGGGCAGAGCAAGGGCTGTGCTCCCCCACGGGCTCCACAGCACTGGCAGGCACAGGAGCGTGGTTTGTCAGCAGTGACGGGCACGCTGCACAAAAACACTCTCTCCCAGCGTGGGTTTCATACTCTGTTTATTTGCTTGCTGGCAAATTAGCTCACACAATCTCATCCAATGACTCCCCAAATTACCTGTGTAGCCAGGATGGTGCCTCCCGAGTTCCCCACCCTTGGGGTCCCCTGGTGAGGTCATCCAACCCTGAGCACTTCCACAGCAATTTTTACCTCAAGGAATCTGCCCACCCAGCTGGTTGCTAAAGCGAAGGGCCAGCTCTGAGAGACTCTCCCACCCTTGGCGGTGCCTTCCTCCGACCGCCCAGCTCGAGCCTCACATACCCCGGACAGCCAGAGCCGTGCCCAGCACAGACACAGCCAGACCCTCCGTGCTCAGGCACTGCAGTCCCGCGGGAGCCAAAACCCACTCCACTCGTGGGACCGGGCAGCCCCTACGGAACAGGGGCCAGAACCTCCCACCCACAGGACCACTGCACGTCTGCAGGCACCAAGCAGTCCGGGGACAAGGTACCGACTGCAGGCAGCGGCGCTGTCCTGCTTGCCTGCCTCTGCTCTAGGAACTGGGCGAGACGCCCCAATGGCTCCTCGCCCTCCCGTCCTCGGGAGAAGAACCACAGAGCACGGCGAACACCCGTGGCGGGGGGCGGCCGCCCGGCGGGAGGGGGGCCGAGGCCGCGCCGGGGGCCAGGTCGCACCCGTACCGGCGGAGCCCGAGCGCCCGAACGTGCGGCGCCGTTGAGAGGGGCAGGCTCGGCCTGAGGGCAGCCGCTCTGTAACACGATCGGGACAGTCGGCAACCGCGGGAGGGAGGGGCCGGATGCGCCCGTGATGCCTGCGGGTGGACCCGGGAGGCGGCGGGCGGGGCCGGGGCCAGGCCCCGGGCCAGCGCCCCGCGCACCTGTTGCTCGGCCGCCGAGCGGGGCCCGGACACGCCGGGGCGGGGCAAGGGCCGGGCGGCGCCGGGTGGGCGCGCCCCCGAAGCCCCACTGTGAGTCAGCGATCGCGGCCCCGTTAAGCACCTGCCGACCCCGCGGCGGCCCCGGCCACCATCCCGGGCCCGCCGCGCCCGCCCCGCCCCGGCCCGCCCCCGGGGACCGGCCCGCCCCGCCCCGGCCGGTGCCAGGGCCGCGGCCGCGCTGGGAGGGACCGGGACTCACAAGCCGCCGCCGCCGCCGCCGCCGCCGCTGCCGCCGCTCACGGACTCGTCACGTGATATTTGGGTCACGTGGCTCCATTCATGAAGCGCCCGGCGCAACCGCCCCGGGCCTTAAGGGGGCCGCGCTCTGCCCGGGGGAAACGGGGACAGGGCCCGGCCCGGCCCGGCCGCCGCTCCGCACCGTGCCGGCTCCTCCCGCCGCCGTCGTCCAGTTCCCGTCCCGGGGCGAGCCCTGCCGTTCCACCAAGGTGCTGGGTCGGCAGCGGATCAGCTCCCGTCATCTCTGGCAGCAGCCACCGCCTCCTGCTGCTCTGCCCGTGGCACATCGCGCGTCTCAGAGCGCGTGGTCCCTCCGCCCGCACCGGCAGGCCCTCGGCACCGGCAGGCCCGCCGCGCTCCCTTTGAGCTGTGCCCAAGGTCCCTCCGAGCTCCTGGCCCTGGCCGGGGCCGTGTGAGCCGAGCCCTGCGGCTTCTGCTCCGCTCACAGTCGCTGCTTTCCCAGCTCACGCCGGGCTCGCTCCAGCTGCATTCCCTTTTGCTACAACTCCGGGTCCACGACACACACACTGGTGCCCACTGTTTGCTGCCGTGCTACAGGCAAAGCAGGGAGGACAAGATGAGCGCACCAGAGAAGGGCGAGAGGCAAGTGGAAGGTGCAGCAATGAAAGTGGGCAGACAGGGGTTAAGGAGAAATGTGCTCCGTAGGAGAGCAGCACGGGCTCGGATCCAGCAGCAGCACCGCTGCCCTCTGCTCTGTGCACAGAGGATGTGACCGCAAGCCTTGCAGAGCCCTTGTGGCACCTGATGGGCTGGGTTTCCATCTGCTGTGGTGGCCAGCTCAGTTACAGGTCTGTAACCATCTAGGAAGTTCATCTATAGCTCTCTCTCTCTGGGAGTACCCGGGGCAACCCCTGCATCTCTCTGCAGAGGGGCTCAAGCTCAGGCATCTCTTCATTCTGTATCTCACTTTTAAAGCCGAGTGGGAACTCTTTCCACAACACTCCTTTGCATTTTGCATCAGCCAGTACTTCATCCATCTGACTTCCAGCTTGGCCTGTCTGCACAGGTATCACAGATCCTAAGCAGGAAAGGAATATACGACACCCAAAGGCTCCTGACCTAGTGGTCACTGCCAGTGGCAATGGATACCCCCAGTCAAAACAGTTGGGATTAGCCACACCTCCCATCAGAGAAACAGTTTTTTTATATAAAGAGGGAAGGAGTAACCATCTGTCACACCTCTAGGGTCATACCTTGCTGGCAGCCTAAAGCCTAACACTAAAAGTACTTTACCTTCACCAGCACCTCAGAGACAACAGGAAATGTAAAAACTCACTACCCCTCCACCTGCCAAACCACTCAAGCAAGGCCAGCAGTAAAGGAGGAGCAGTGAGAGGTCATGGTCCCCCAAGCCAGACTGAGCAGAGAGAAGAGGTGGCCACAGGAGAGAAAAGGAGCATGGTCCGATGTTCCCACCATATGTCTCTGTAAGTGGTGGGAGATCGGGCAGAGGCACTTGGTCCATTCCAAGAGGTGATTTTGGGCCCAGCCCTGGTGCACCATGCAGCATGGTGTTTGCGTGGCAGCATCTGCTCCAGCCAGTAACAGCAGTGACAGGACATACGCTCTGACAGCAGATGCAAGATGGGGCCAGAGAGGATTAAACCTTTGAAACCAAAAGTTCTGAAACATCTTTGAAAAATCCTGTTAAAAAATTTCTGCATAGGACACCACAAACACTGCTTCAGTCCTGGAAGTACCCATTCTGGACAAATGATTTCCTTGACAAGCTCTGATGAGAGTATCACCCCTGCCCAAGAAAAGAGCAGTGCCAGGGACAGCTCACACCAACCCCATTACAGGTTAAAGACCCTCTGCTACAGCACTGCCGCACAGCTGCTGCAAGCCACAAGCTTGGTACAGGGGACACCAACATGCAGAGTGAGCATTTTTCCTTGGACAAAAGAACACAGACAACACTAATGGTTGTGGCTTAGGAATGGTATTCCCCGTATTAGCGTTCCCACTGAAATACTCAAAAACACATGCTGCTCGTGTCCCTTTCCCCCTGTGGCAGGCTGGAGAGGAGAACTGTAGGCACAAAAGGTAAAGATCATGGTTTGCTATAAGAACAATTTACTGAAAACAGTAATGAGAGAAGAAAACAAATAATAACAGCGACAATATTAAAAAGAGTGTAGAAGAGAGGGGCAAGATTCACATATGATTGCTCACCACAATGATGATTGTAACATGATGTTACTCCCACCGCAAGGGACACCTCCTCCCCATCCCTCTTCAGCCCCTCTTCCCTGCCATAAACCCTCCCCCTCCCCTTTGCCCACGTTCATGATGTATAGAATAACCAGGGTCTTGGCCACACCATTCCTAGCTACTGCAAAAATGTATTTTTTGACTGGCTGAAACTTAGACCTTGACATTCAGCACTGCCAGAATACAGCAGTCTGGTCAGTTCTTCTTGCTCTTGTTGGTGAACAAACTGACTTTGTTAACAGATGCCACAGACAAGGAAGGAGACTCCAGCTTCACCTTGTCCAGCAAAGTTTTCTTTATGGCTGCTGGGGAAATCTCCTCTTGGTCTGCCAAATGCTGCAGTTCCCTACAATGGGGTAGTGGGAGAAGAAGTCATAGGAAAAAGAAAATAGACAGGCTGGGGGACAAGTCTTGCAAGCTCTTTAGGACTTCCTAGGTGCCCACCTTGTCCGGATACAGGAAGCCTCCACAGCATTGATGAGGAGTGAGCGAAAGCCACCACTCTCCAGGAAGTGCAGGGCATGGATAGTGGCTCCCCCGGGCGAGCAGACATTGTCCTTCAGCTGACCAGGATGCTGCTCAGATTCTAACAGCATTTTGGCAGCACCCTGTAGCAAGGAAAATACTTGCCAGAGCTCTGACTGCAGAAGCCACTGTCACACACTCCTGTTCTCCACTGCACAGAGCAGCACCAACACTCACAACAGGCAAACCTGGGCTCCTGCAGGCTGCCAAAACACTTTTCAGAGCTGACACAGCCTGCAAAGGAGCAGAGTTTCCCAAGCCCCAGCTCCCACACCATCACCAGTGCCAGCAGATTGCTGCAGACACTTCCTACAGCCCCCCACCAGGAACCTGTGTGCATTCAAACCAAACACATTCTTTAAAGTAGATTCTGTGAGAGGACCAAGACGATTTCAAACTGTGATGTGTAGATTCCTCTGCACAGAGCAGGCACAGACGCAGATTTGTTATGCAGGAGGTAATACTGACCAGCAAAGCCTGTGCTCCAAGTCGAACCGCCAGCCTGCGGGGAAGGCCCATCTTTACTCCTCCATCCGCAAGAGCATCCAGGGCAGTGAATGCCTGAGACCAGAGAGAGGAAGAAGGTGACTGAAAGACTCTGCTCCAGGGCTGGTAACTCTCAGGGAGGAGAGAACCCAAGGCATCAGGACTGTTCTATGACTCTATCACTTACAGACTTGACAAAAGCCTCCCCCTTTCCTTCATGGATGCCATGTCAGGCTCCTCTCCCACTAGCTTCAGCTCAGGAGTGGGGGGAATGGGAGAAATTCAGCTTCTGCATCATGCAAACTACAGGCCCAAGTTTTACAACATGGACACGTGGACATTGCACACTGGCTATGGACTTCTGGACTTCTTCCCATTGCAAATGTGGGCAATGGGGAAAAAAAAAAAAAGACAAGCTGAATTTGCACAGACTTTATGGCAGGCAAAGCCAAGTGCTCTCCCTAAGACTGCCACTAGGTGAGGAAACAGCACATACATACGCAGGGCCACTGCCACTGAGCCCTGTTACAGCATCGATGAGGTCCTCTTCCACCTCGGTGCAGAAGCCCACACTGGCCATCAGTTGTTCCAAAAGCTTCCCATCTTCCACATCCGCATGAGTTCCAGTGGCATAGACTGTAGCACCTTCCCGGACTATCACAGGAGTGTTGGTCATGCACCTGATCACTTTTGGTGTGGGGCAGAAGGTAGAGAGTTTCTTAGGGCAGAAAATCATTGAAGATAAAAAGTAAGAAAAAAAGAAAGAAGGGAGAAAAATGAGCTTTAGTGCATATTTTTCATCAGTGGGCTGCCCAGGAAAAGACCCTCCAGGGAAAAGAACAACACAAGCAGAAGAAAAATAGTGACCTGTGTATCTCAAATACCCTGCTTTGAGCCACAGGAACTCATACGTGAATGTGAAGCCTTCGTCAGTACCAGCAAAGCAGGAGCTGGGCAAAGCCAGGTTGGAAACAGTATCCGAAAGGCCTCAATCCCACATCAACCCACAGATCTCCAAAAGAGCTCCTGCAGACACTTAACATAAAATCTGCAGAAATTCAGGGGAGACGACCCAGTGCTGTTAGAAGAAACGTGATCGGACAGCACCTCATGTGAGGGAACAGCTGGATAAAACCTCTAATAGCATTTGCTGATGAAGACAGGCACTGGTGACCGAAAACAAGTCGGCGGCTGCTGGGTGACTTTAGTCCTGAGCAGCACAAGTAACGCGTGTCCCTTGCATCGGCTCCTCGGCGTCAGAGGAGTGGAAGCAGCTGATGGCCGGCCTTGCACGGCCCGGTCCCCTCTCACCTTCTCGATGGAGCTGATGGTGACGCCGGCCGCGCAGGAGACCACGATGTGCCGGGGCTCGATGTCGGGGCCCACCTCCTCCAGGATGAAGGGGATGATGGGTGGCTTCACGGCCAGGAAAAGGACATCGCTGCTCTTCACCGTGTCCTTGTTGCTCACCGTGAAGTTCACTCCCATTTTCTGCACCGGTGTGGGGAGAAACGGGACCGCTCAGGCCCGGGACGGCCCGGGAGGGGAGCGCCCCCAACCCGGTCCCAGCTACCCGGCCGCACTCACCCGCAGCCTGCTCACGGTGGGCAGGTCAGTGTCCGGGGAGCTCGCCGTGATCTTGTGAGCAGCCAGGACTCCTGCGAAGGACACGGCGTGTCAGCCCGAGGGATCGGCACCGCCTGCCCCGTACCCACCTGCCCCGCATGAAGCCCCCGGCCAGGGCGAAGGCGAAATGCCCCGCGCCCACCTGCCGCCGTGAAGCCGCGGGCCAGAGCGAAGGCAAGCTGCCCCGCGCCGATGAACCCCACGCTCATGGCCGGTGCGGTGCGGTGCGGTGCGGTGCGGTGCGGTGCGGTGCGGTGCGGTGCGGTGCGGTGCGGTGCGGCTGGGCTCCGCTCCGCCAGGTGAGGCTCCGCCAGGTACGGTGCGATTCCGCCAGACCCGGCCCCGCCGCCGTCCACGTGGCCGCGCGCACGGAGGCGAGACCGCGCGGCGGGACGTGGGCGCGCAGCCAATCGGCGAGCAGCGGGGCGGGGCAGCGCCAGCGCTCCGCCACTCAGCGAGCGGAGGCGGGGCCAGCAGCGCAGCGCTCGCCAGCGATTGGCGCAACCGGCGCGCGGTGTTGCATCATTCGCCGGCCGCGGGGCCGCCGGCCGCGCCGCTCCGCTCCGCTCCGCCAGGCGGCGCTGTACTCGCGCCGGAGCCCCGCGGGCCGGGCCGGTACCGCCGGTACCGCCGGTACCGCCTTCCATGGGCCCGGTGGTCCCCGGCCACCCTTCCCGCGGAGAGCGGGACTCTGGGTCCCCGTGTGCTGGCTCGGCTCGGCTCTCCCACTCCCCGCCGGCCCGGCACCCAGCGGTGCCCACACGCGGAGAGCGGCCCGGCGGCACCTCGTGCTCTGGGAATCGCCCGCAGGTTTCCCCAGGGATTTATTTCCCTGCCCCTGAACGGGGAGGGAGCTTCCGTCGCCCGGTTGCCCGCGGGGCCCGCACGCAGTGGGGCTTGTTCCGTGCCCCTGGGGCGGGAGGGGCCTCCCTGCGGCCTGGGCTGTGCAGAGACCAGCCCGCCGTGTTCTTGTAAAACTCAGGCAGCAGGCAGGGATTTTTTACCTCACTGGGGTTTTTGTTTGTTTGTTTTGGGGTTTTTTGTTTGTTTGTTTATTTTTGTTTTTATTTTTTTTTTCTTCTTGATTCTTGACTGACAGAAATAAATCTCAGTGTTTTGGGGTTTTTTTCTATTGATAAATGTTTCTAAAGGCTGATCTTTTGTGGATACTGAACCTCAGGCTTCCAAAAAAGAAGGTAAAAAACCAAACGTAACCATTAACAATTCCAATTTAATCTATCCATTTTGGAATCCTCGGGGTGCTGTCTAGACTGGCTGCAGTCACAAGTCCATAATTAATGAATACACGTAAATCCTAACATTAATTTACCTAAAGAGGTTGGGAATGGCTGGTGGCTGGGGAAACCTGGTTCATGGTGAGCTATTTGATCATCATCTATTAATTAAGGGAGTAGATACTCTGGAAATGAAGGTGGTTTGGTGAACTGAATCATGACAGAGCTGGTTGGTAAATCCTGATGAGCAGATATCAGATGTTCTCTGTCCTGGATTGGGCAATCTCATAGTTTCCAATGGTTGGGGAGTGTTTTAACCACTGAAGCATGAGGTTTTGATTTTTTTAATTATTTTTTTTCTCCTAAAAGAGAGGATTGTTGTCCACACAATCTTTTTTTGCCATTTTGACCATGTTCACATTTTTTGCTCAGTCTTTGGCTGGCAGATGAGAAAGCTAAATCTGAACACACTGTTCTTGGCAATGACTTGTGTTTCCACTCCTCCAGTCAGTGGGATCATGATTTCCATGTTTAATTCTCTTTCCCCTTATTGTGAAGGCACTCAGTTTTGCCCTCATTGTTTCCCAAGTACCAATTTCTGCTCTGGCCCTTTGACCCTGGATCAGTGTAAGTTGCATCAACTCATGGCACTGCCAGATTTTACCGTGTTTCTGCTCTTGCTCCTACTTGGTGCAAAACCTTCCCAGCAGGAAGCCAGCAGTGCCTGGCTCAGCCACGTACTGTCAGCCAAGGAGCTTTCCAACAGCTGCCACTGCCTGAGGACCACCAGTGTCATCCCTGGGGACAAGCACCCCCTTGCCTGTGGGCTCTTGCCTCTGCTGGCCCCCTTCCCCAGCCCACCCAGCCTCCCAGAGCCACACCAGAGCCTGCAGGGCTTTCCTCAAACAATGTTCCTGGGCTCACTGGATTGAATTTTATAACAAAAGCCATGCTCCTTCACAGGCACCCGTTCAGTTTTTAGTGATCTGTAATGACAAAAAATAAGTAATTTTCAAGTGTGACACAGCTTAATTTGTCCATATTGATGTGTTTAACAGGAATACATCATAAATGCTCGAGGGCCCTTTGTATGCAGTGGCTCTTGTAAATTGACTCCTCCAACACAAATGGATTTCCTTTTCCAAGTCAGCATTTTGTACTTGTACAACCCATAATTTGTTTGGGTGGCAAGAAATAAAGCTCCTGGTTTATATCTGTAGCTCCTGGTTTATATCTATATCTGTCTTGGGTTTTGTTCTACCAGCCTCCTCTTGGACCACATCTTCCAGATTTCCTGCCCTTCTCTGGGACTCACAGAAGAGAAGACCCCCTTGGAAGGCTGTTCCTTCGTGCTGGATCCCGATTCTTGTCTCATTTCCTGGCTAATGCTCCCCATTGCTAAGGGCTGGTCCTAGCTCAGAATTATTCAACATAATCTGCCCCAATAAGTTTGCCCTTTGCTTTTCAAACCCCACACAAATACTGATGCAAAGTAAGTTTCCTTCCTTATTCCTGAATCATTCTGCTGCAAAGAATCCACTCAGAGGTCTTGCTGTGTTGTGTCTGTTCTATTTTGGGTCTGTGTTCAGGCTTTGAACATCAAAATAAAGTGAGCTCTGCTTTCGTGCAGAAAGGGCCATGGCTGCTGCAATGAAAGTGTGGAGAGGAAGGTGACAGCACACAGATCTCAGGAGATGTAAGCATACATCTGCCATTCAGCTTTATTTTGTTTTGGTTAAAAAATAAATCTTGTTTCTGACAGGCAGCTACTGGAGATTTTAATCAAAGCACTCAAGTCTGCATGTGCTGCATTTGGACAGTCTGGCTTCTCCCTGGAACAAATGAAGATTCCTATGGGGCCTGAAATCTGAGCTGAGAATTGTGGAACTTTAAAGTGGGTGTTTTGTCAGGGCTGGGCCTGAGAAATTTGGCTACTCAGTGATGCAGAGTGCTCAGGAATCCTGCGCCTGAGCTGCTCTGGGGTACGGTGTGCAAGTTCTGTCATGCCCATCCTGTCCATGCCCCCTCCCTGCCTGGTTTGGTCTCTTGTGCAGCACTGTGAGATTGGTCTCTCCCTCCCCTTTCCCATGCCCCCATGATTTATCTTCAAGCTTTCAGAAAAAAAAAATGTTGACCCCAGTGCAAGGAAATGGTGGCCCATGCATCAAGACAGAGCCTGTGCCAAGGTATTTCCTGTGCTGCTCAGGTGAGAATGGCAGGTCCCACACAGCCACTTGGCTCTTCTCTGCAACCTGATTCTCAGCAGTAGAGCCCCAACTTTACAAATTTTCATTTCTGTAGTGACTCAGTGTTTGCTAGATAGGAACATTGAATTAAATTATTAGGCCTCCTCCAAGGTGTGCACTTGAGGATATTCCTTTTCTATGCTAGACAGTGAAGGAGAGGAAGGGAAAAGACTGGCAACATTCAAAATATTGTGATAGCTATGATGGTCTTCTCAGAAACACCCAGACTGGAACTGCCCACACTTGCAGGCATTCCACGTCTCACAACACAGTCCAAATTAACCCAAACTCCAAGGGATTGATTTTCATCTCCTGAAAATTCTGGTGTTCCTTCATGCAGCTTTTAACTTTTCCACTTCCTGAGTAGTCACTTGGTTACCATTAAGCACTGGTTAACAGTTTCAAAATCCTTGATGTCTTTCCTAATATTTGGCTCAGTAACCTGGTAGCCCCGCTGCTGTGGTTATGAGCATTCCTGCTGTCTGCAGATGCACGTGGAGCTGTGTCATTCCTTCATGCTGGCACCAGGCGGGTGAGGCAGAACCATGGGGGAGTTGGGCTGTGCTGTGCATCAGCTGCAGCCCACCTGCTCCAGGTCATTCAGTCGTTAGTGTAGGGAGTCCTCACCTTGAAGCTCGGCTGATGGAGTGTGCGTGCCTGCCCAGCGCCTCTCTGCCCCTCGCCCCGTCCCTCAGCCCCTGCCGTGGGTCACAGCTCTCAGATGCTCCCACAGTGGCCAACCCACAATTCAGAGGTGTGAGACAAAGCGGATGCGCTGCGAGTACGCCAGGTCCAAGACATAGAGCAGCAGGTTGACATAGGTGAAGATGGCAATCACCAGCTGGCTGTCCCAGGGGCACTTGCCCTTGGCACAGAGGCCAGGGCGTCGTGGGGAGCCGTACTTGCTGTCAAAGCAGAACACTGGCCAGATGACCGCAGCACTCGTGTAGAGCAGCACAGCCCCAAAGGTGTAGATGACCACAGAACGCTCAAAAGGGAACCACAGCAATGCAGTCTTACCTGTGACACTGAAGGCCACTACCACCACTGTCACCACAAAGCAAAAGCTGTAGACAGCCACACACCACTGCGTCGCCACGTATTTACCATATTGGCTGTCATTCACCAGCGCCCCAAAGATGATGCAGGCCACGAAGGCCTGAACGATTTTCAGGAGCCCGGAGATAGTTGCCATGTAGCTGGTGACTTGTCCTGGCTTTGCCCTGGTTAAGAACACCTCAGTGGCATAGGTGACAAACAGGAGGCCCGCGAAGACGCTGGCTGCGATGCGGAAATCCCTCACCTCGCAGCCGATGGGGTAACAGCCCACCTGGACGAAGTAGAGCGGGTAGATCACTGCAGCCGTGATGGACATGAGTGTGGCAAGCATGGCAAAGGCAGCGGTGAAGTTTCCCCAGGAGAGGCTCAGGCAGCTGTGCAGGTGTGTGAACTCACAGGTGATGATGAACACAGTGATGGCAAAGCAGAAGGTCCACACAAACATGCAGAAGGTGCCGTAGGCAGCACTGAACCCCCCTTGGTGGGCAACCAGGCTGAATGTGGTGCATCCGAAGGTCATCTGCAGCAATCGAGCGATTCCTACAGGGGAAGTCAGCGCAGCTGTGTTCAGATACGGCCCTCCCGTGCTCTCCATTATCTTTCCAGTCCAGCAGACCATGCACTCAAAGCCTCCTCAAACGTCCTTTCTGGCTCTTGCAGCTTTGCCCTGCGTCCCACCTGGTCCGAGCTCAGTGGAGCGGCAGCTCAGATCCCGCTGGTCTCTGCTGGCATCGGTGGGAGCTGCCTCTGACGCTGCATCTCTGGCAGCTCTGTGCACGGACCTGCGGCTGCAGGGAGGTGACTGCCTGGCTCTGCCCACTGGCTGTAAGCTCAGGGTGCTGCTGCTCGCTCTCTGCTTCCTCAGGTCTGAAACCTGCTCCTGTGCTGTCCTTTGGCTGTCTACTTTCCCACAGGATGGTACTTTTCCCTGCAGGCTGACATTTATTCCATTTTAGCTCCGCAGCTGTAGCTTTCTGCTGCACCGTTCACAGGAACCTGGAGTATAAATAGGGGCTTTATTAATAGTTCTGGAATGAGTCCTGCCCCCACTCAGCTGTTGGGAGCGGGTGTTATTTAACACTGAAGCTGTGAGCTCCATCAAAGGCTCTTGATTATCCTTCTGCTGTTCTTCTAGAAACTCTGGGGTCCCTGGAATGCTGCCGTTCCCCACACAACCCCCCGCACTCAGGGGAGGTGTCTGGCTGTGGCAGTGGGCTGTGATCCAGCCGTGCTGCAGGAACAAGAGCTCAGTCCTGCAGAACCAAGAGCCCCTGAGTGGGGGCACAAGCCCAAAGGCAGCACAAACCTGAAAAAAGAAGGGATTTAGGCCAGAGGCTGAATAAAAGCTGACTCACTTTGCTGCAGTTGATCTGGAGCAGTGATACATTTACCTGCTGTGCTTTGTGACAGCTTGTGGTAGTGAAGGTTGACAGCACCCGTCCTCAACATTTCCTTAAACTCTTCCCTGTTTCTCTTTGACTTTATGTGGAAATCAGTTTTTCTTGTATCTCTGAATGCAATGACTGAATACAATTGTTTTTTAAAATTGCTTTGATATTCTTAGCTCTGTTTTGGAACACAGATTTCAATAAATAGTGTAAAACTCTCCCTCCTTTTTGTGAGATCAAAACTTTCAGAGTGAGACATTCCTGGTATACAGTGCCCCCCAGACCTCATCTCTACCCAGAAGTCTCTTAATTATATTTCTGAAAGTGCCAAGCAAAATTTCTGATGTAATTTCAGAGTAGGATTGGGTGAATGTTTTTACCACAACATAGCAGAAAAATTCCTGCCTTACCTCACGGCAGCATTGCTGACTCCTCACCTGCAGTACTCATCCCAGTATGGACGCAGAAAAACTTCACTGCTGGAATGGCTCACATGAGAACAGTACAAACTTTTGGCTGTAATGATAAAATATACCTACCTCCAGGTTTGCCACCAACTTGTAACCTCAGTGTCTCTTTCATTCATCTCAAGTCCCCTCCGTTTTCCTTTGAAAGGCCTCTGGTGCTAAAAGTACAAAAGCCTGCATTCATTTGGGGTGGAAGTTGCACAATTAACATCACAATAACCAGGAAATGCAGCAGGAGAGATGAGGAACTCCAGGTGAACGGGTTGCCATGCCAGCATCTTGCCCTACCTGACTCTCTATTAATCCTTCGCCTCTAGCAGTTTTCCAGGCTTCATTGGCAGTGGGTCACTTTCTGCACTGTGGCACTTTGTGGCATCACTTCCCATTTGCCCGGGACCAGCAGAAGGCACAGGGACACTCCATGGCATGGCCCGCCTGAGGACACTCCCCAGCAGTGCCAGGGCTCGGGGCAGAGCTGCTCCTGCTGCTCACCTTCTGCTTTCCCGTGGGAGGTGCTGCCCCTCTGGAGAGCCCCCAGCACCAGAGTCAGGGCTGGCAAAGGTCCCCCAGATCACACTGGTGGAGGAGAGCACCAGACAGACCATGGCCACTTCTCCCTCAGAAATAAAGAACCTTATCTAATCAAAGATCACAGAATACAAACACATGGCACTGAATTCTTCCAGTCTTGCCCTTTTGTCACTGGCTTCTGCACAGCAGAGAACAGATGAAAAGTGTAATTAGGACAATTCTACTTTTATACCCAAGTCATTAAAACATAAAGGATATCACTAATCTCCAAACAGATCATAGGGAAACTCCACTGATGTTTTCCTGTTTTTCAGTTTCCCTGGGAGCACCAACCATTTTCTCTTTAGTTTTTTGTTATCTTCAATCTGTGTTAATCCCATGCACAGCAGGACAGCTGATTGTGGTGGTCTGTGTGTGGTCCTGCCAGACTTCTCCTGGAAGTCCAAGAAAAGGAGCCGAAGGGCTACAGTTTGGTTCATTTTTTGGGTTTACTTACCCAAAACAAGAGATCTAACAAGCAGCACCACTGTTCTAACCTGGCAAGGTCTGTTTTGAAAGTACAGGGAATTTTTCATAGATCAGGCCCAAATTTTCTCATCTCTGTGGCCGACATGCTGTGTAACCATGCACAGAGTGCAGGCACACAGCTGGTCCCAGGGCCTCGTGCAGCAGGGACTGCAGCAGGGATTGCAGCAGGGACTGCAGCTGTGCTCCTGGTGCAGCAGGGACTGCAGCTGTGCTCCTGGTGCAGCAGGGATTGCAGCAGGGACTGCAGCTGTGCTCCTGGTGCAGCAGGGACTGCAGCTGTGCTCCTGGTGCAGCAGGGATTGCAGCAGGGACTGCAGCTGTGCTCCTGGTGCAGGTCTCCCCACGCCCTGCACTGAGCCCCAGGGTGAACTCTGCTCCAGCCGCCCACGTGCTCCCAGCCCAGGAACCGTCTCCTGTCTCCTCTCCAGCCTCAGTCGTGCTTTCTCCATCCCTCCCTTGCTCTCCTCCCACTGCCATCAAAGGGGATTCTCTGTGCTGTGGTGGGTGTGTTCCCAAATGATTAGAAGAGAAATATGTTGGTGCTTGTCTTGTGTTCTCTGCCTTTTCTGCTCCAAATGCTTCTGATGCTCTGATCAAACATTTCGCTCACTGGAAGAGAGGCCTTTGCAGCAAAGCCAGATCTCCCTCCATGTTAAAACACAATTCCTTGTACTACCTGGGGAATCCCAGACAAGCCAAAAATGCTGTGAAAGTCTGCAAACATCAGATGCTGGGTGAAATTCTCTGTACTTAAACCTTAGGTGGTGAAATTCTCTGTACTTAAACCTTAGGTTACAACCTCTTCATCACAGAAACAATGACAAGGCACACTGCAAGGAGAACACAGAAATCTAATTAATGTCCAAAACGTCAACACCACCCTTAGCCCTCTCCCAGGCACAAGTGACCATCAGGATAACCCATCCAAATGAGCAGCATATACAACTTTACAAAGACATGGGTATGGTTCTCTGGTCAGCCCTTATAAATAGCGTTTTACATATTAAAATAAATATGTCCACGTTGCCAAAGTAGCAAGAGGTTTCTTCGTTATTTAAAAAAAATATGTTACAATATCCATTATATTTCTTGCTTAGTTTAAAAAAGTAATTAAAAAGTCATTTTACAAAATAATACGAATAAATTGAGTACAAGAGTGTCCATCCCTAGCACATGTCCTGGGTCTGTATACTGTGACTCAGCATGAGATGCTAACCTCCAGGAAGTAACGGCATCATTCCTTCACTTCTACTTGGACAGAAGAAATCCAGTGCTTGCTTTTTTCATCACTTGTAACAAGTCTATGATGTAGAACTCATGGCAAGGGAAGATGTCCCAGATCTGGGTGAGGTTCTCATCACTGCTATTTATGGCTTTGCTACTCCCTGTATTTGATTGCCTTGTGTAACACAGAAAGAGGATGTGACCAGCTGAAACTTAGCCCTGGAGTTTGGAGGGAGGGAACAAGTTCCAACCAAACAGTGTAAGCAAGAAATTGCTGCTTGCCTTTTTTTTTTCCCTATTTTTTTTTTCTTGACACACCATAAGCGTGCAAGAGTGTGGGAGCGTGTGAGTGCACAGGTGTGAGCGTGCCATGGGTATGAGCATGCATCTGCCTGCAGGAACATGAAGGAAGAAGATTAGAAAGTTTGGGAGAAGGGCTGAGAGTCTCTCTCCTCCTGATCTAATCTCTGCCCCTCTGATGAGCCCTCCCTAGTTACCACTGCTGAGCATCCCCAGGAGTTTACTGGGCTCCAGGCCCTGCTGCTGTGCCATCTTCTGAACATCAAAACCCATGTGCATGAGGAACTGGATCACATTCATCTCCTGCCCTGTGAACTGGTCCCTGATGGTGGGGCATGAGGGGTTGCAGTGAGGCCATGGACAGCTGTCAATCAGGTGAATTGGGCAGCCTTTCAGAGGAGCCTTCCCATTTTTGTTGCTCTCATGGAGGCTCCGATCCCAACAGTGCAGGGCACGGGGTAATGATGTCCCCTTCACCTGGATGTCAGTCCAGTGACTGGAAAGACAAATTGTACAGATCACATCAGAGGGGTCAGGCTGCCAGGACAGGTTCATTCCCAAGCCACATCCCCATTCACCTCTCACAGGACCTGCACAAGCACTTACTTGCGTGTGATGATCTCGTGGGACAAACAGGCAGGAGCAAAGCTTGCACTGAAGGAAAAAAAGAAACATGGATTATGTCTTGAAGGACAAAGCAAGTCCTGCTGAATCGAACCTCCTGGACTAGGGAGAGGGTGCAATTTTAGACAGAAATGAAAAAGGAAAGATTCTTGATGTAGATCAACTAATGGTTACCAAATTTACAGCACTCTTTTTTCAGCAGAGATCTGAGAACACAAGGACACTAGATAAGAATGTTCCTTAGAAACAAATGTGCCAGGTTTTTCTCAATGAAACACTTACGTCACATCCTTCAAGGTGTTTCTCAGCTCTCTACCCAAATTCTGGATGTAGAGCCACTGTCCTTCCTGAACAGGCTGGCCAGTTAGGTGTACATTGTCTACAGTAAGCTGGGCCTCATCGAAGAGCCACTGAACAACAAAGACTGGGCCTAGAAAGACAAAAAATTCGGAAAAGGGGTTACTCCAAGTTAGTTATAGATACAGAGGAAACCCTAAAACCATTTGATCTCTCTCCTTTGGTACTTACATCGAAGAGTGGGGTAAATCTTATATCCAAAAAAGCAATTCCATTCCTCTCCCTCTTTAAACTGCAGCTTACAGCGTTCAGGAACAATGCCATTCCAGTATCTAGAAGACAAAGCAATAACAGAATGCACAGGGCAATCCTAACAATGTGTCCTCTCCATATCCTAGTTACTGTTCTGATGAGAATTTCAACTGATAGAACAGCTCTCTCAGCAGCACTGTCCCATCAACACATTTTAGAGCATCTCTAACTGTGCACATTCTTTCACACATTTGGACTTTATTGTCTTTTCTAATCACATCATTGAAAAAACACTGATGTGGACAATAAATACTCCGTAAGTATCAAAATGAAGGAACACAGTGAAGGAGGACATCTATTCCATGCTCTAACCTCTTAGAGTAGCATACTTTAGAGCATCTGACTGTACCTTATTCCTCTTCTGATGGCCTCAGTTGGAGCACAGGTTATGGTATCGATACAGTCTGTTCTGCGATACTGTTTGTTATCCAGGAACCATCCAGAGTCTGCCAAGCCTCGAACCTGAATCCCTTGATAACCCATCTCCTCCAGCTGCTCTGCCACTCGATCCACGTTCAGGAGCACTCCTGTCCCTCCAGCACTGCAACAGCAACATCAACACTGCAGTCATGAGGCACACACAGGTGTTACAGACCTCGCTAGCAGACACACCTTCCTCAGCAGTGAACTGCTGTGAACCCCTTCATCTGCCACAGCAGAGCTACCCAACCATTCACCATGAACTCGGTAGACACCACATTATTTCCTTGCTTTGCAACACTCAGAAATAAAGCCAGTGCTGAGTGATAATCTGGGAGGTCAGAAACAAATTCCTGTTGTTACTGTCTTTCCTCAGAGATCCATGTGCTCTGTACAATTTCCAAGGGGATTGGCTGTTCAAAAACTAAAAGAATCAGAATTCACACAGCAACGTCTCTATTACACTCCTGTGTAATACACTGAGTGTGCCAGAGCTTTGTGCAACACAGGATGATCCAGAGCATCTGTGTGAGGCAAGTTTAGTTTTTATTTCAGTGTCCCGAATCAATTTACAGGAGGTGTGTGTCTTATGATGTGAGCCAACAGGAACCAGAATTCATGGTGCAGACAAGAACACAAAGCTTTGTTATTTTCTGCGTTTTCTCTTATGTGAATATGGACTGGAAGCTGATGAAGTAATATTGTATCATCCTCTGTTGTGGCACTTACAGAGAAAACTGACCAGAGATACAGGGTTTGCCGTGTTAGTGTTACTGTACTCCTGGAAGAAATGTTTCAGGAGCTTCTGGGGCCTCCTCCCTTAACAGCTTTCTACTGTGGAAATCTCCTGTCTTCACAAAACAGAATCTTGTGGATACCTACCTGCTCCCTGCTAGCAGCAATACTTTTGCAGTGCTCAGACCTTTTCCCACCAGCTCCTTTATAACCTCCTGTATGATCAGTGCTCCCATGAAGGCATATTCATCTGGAAGACAGCTCAGTGTCAACAACATTGTTTCCTGTCCAGGCTCAGACTTTTATTTCCTCTCTGAAAATACTTAAGAACTTTCCAAAGGGATTACAAACCTAAACTCAGACTTGTTTTATCCACCTACATGAAATACACCTAACAAGATATTCTCCTCTGCCTCATACAAAATGTGCTGCCCGGAAAGACCGAGTGAAATGAACACTCAATTACACAAATACCTTCTTATGACAGTGCTTAGAAATGAGTAAACTTGGAAATGGAAAACAAGAAGGAAGGTGCTGGAGGAACAAACACACACCTTCCTACCATTGGAATCTCAGTTCCAACTTAGTGTTTCCCCTTTTTCCCAATTCATCAAGCCAATTCAGAGAAGCAATGCTTCACAAGATGTTACATGTACAAAGACATTGCTTCCTTGGCACCACCAGCATCTGTGGTTGCTGATGTGTAAGTGCTCCATAGGAAGAGCCCGAGGGAGCTGGGATGAAGTGCAAAGGTCCCTTACTGTGAACCACCAGGATGACAGCGGATGGCAGCGTGTTGAGATGAACTCTACTCTTTCCCAAAGAAACCTGCAGACAGCTTTAGCTTGGCACATAATGGCTCCTGCCTAAGGTCAAATATCCTCCTGATAAAAGTCTGACACTAAATTCACAGTCCTGCCTCTCAGGTCAGCCATGCTAAAGTTTCATGCAACAGTTCATGGTCCCTCAGCTACAGCAATTAATTTGCTATATGCTGCAACCTGGAGATTCATCTAAAAGGAATTTTGGTCCTCTAATCCTTGCATACTGCTTCAGTGTAACATCTCTTCAAGCAGTGGCTCTGAACTATGTCAAAACAGCCTGAGCTAAAGAGATCAGGATGTTTTATCTGGAAGTAGCTTGATATTCTTTCCTGCCCTTCAGCAAGAAAAAGCCTGTTTCTCATCCACGTGGTTTCACAGAAGTCTGGCCACAGCCTTT